AATCCGCTTGTAAAGATTACCGCCGGAGAAGATTATCTGGAGTAATATGTGGAAAGCAACCTGGTAATTATAGTGTTTCAATACTAACATTTAAGAGAAAGGTGATCAGCGAAATACTGCTGTTACAATGACAATCTTCATCATGTAATAATGCGTACTTACAGAACTTCTTCCCCTCTTACTTAATTCACGTATCAATGAATGGGTATTCCATCTCGAAAACAAAGGTTTTCCAAATATGGTATCAAACTCGTTAAGAATCTTTAAGAATAACAAAAGGTCTTGATGAGCCCGGGAGATTTGAAAAACAAAAGGTTTTCAGAGAGCCCGAAATTTGAATATTGCGGTTGACTTCACACACCGACTTCGGAAGAGGTCGGAAAGAGCAAAACGAATTTTAGAGGGGGCTGGTTGGAACGCATTTTGTCAGCGAGACAAATCAACGTGGGGGGGAGGTGTTATTGCCAAAGTTTTAAAGGAACAGTTATGATCATAAAGATAACTACTGTCAGAAACATAACTTGTTCAAGGATTATTTTGATAATGTAAGACAGCTTATTGCAAATGATTCACTTTCTTGTAGCCCGTAGTCGACTTATATGTTAAGCAATGCCGACGCGTTCCTGTTAAACAGTTCGAGCTGTAGTTCGTTTTTGACTAAAGGTATACTAGAACGCTTTTGCGTTTGACTTAAACAGAAGCCAAACAAGAAAACGGCTTTTTTAAAAGCCACCATATCTATTTCTATCATGACCAAATGCTTTGAATTATCGATCTAAATGGTGTTTCATACTATCAGTTAGCAATAATAACGCTAAATACAAGAGTACCATACTAAGCAATCCTTAATCTCAAGTACATTCATACTTGTGTGAATACTTATTTTTTTTAACACTTAAAGGTGTTCACACGGGCTTACCAGGCTATTGAGAAATCAAGTCGGCCCCAGTCATCCTATTTCAGGAAAATAAAAATGTTCTAGCTAAAAAATATACGCCGTTTTTGACCATAAAAACTTATATTAAAGCCTTTTGACCTTAAAAACATAACGTTTGTCAGGAACAAAAATATTTTAAAAAGGAAGGGCGCCACATTTGATTGTGAGATTGTCAACAATATAGCTCATAATCTCTTTCGAAGGAAAGAACAGTTATTTAGAAGAACAGACCCCGTTTGCTCCTCTTGAACAAATGAACGAGTTTAGACATTTCATTGACAAAGTGGCAGAATGAGATAATATAATAGTAATATCAAACGTAAAAAAAAGGCTCCAGAATAATGATAACTACTGATATCTATCCTCCTATCTATAATTAAATAGTTGTCATGTCATTATATTTTTAGTTTTTCATCAAACTATCACTGAGATGGCTGGGGTCATAACAAGCCCTGGATATCCATTATCCATGACCAAAGCCGATTACCGCTGGACATTCATGACAAATTTGACACGTGGGCGTGTGGCTCTCTATTTTGACGTACTAGATTTGCAGCGTTATGAAGGGTAAAGTACTATAAGCTACAAGCACGCTCTGAAAAACATAAAAAAGTGAGCTTTATTGTGAGTTTTTTTGACCCAGAGGTGATTGGGAATCATTAAATTTTTCATTTGCACGATTGCGACAACTTTTTGTTCACTCAAAAATAAATAAATTAATTCACGGGGGGCGGGGGGCCGTGGGGGAGGAGGGAGAGCAGAGCATTATTTGTTATGTTTGCAAGAGGGGGTTCTAATTTGTTGATATTTTGGCTCAAATTCCCTCCCCTCCTGATAAATATAGCGCAGTCCCTAAGCAGTGAGCACTTCGCACTTCGGCAGATACTAATGTTATGTCTTGCGTTGTTTCTTTAGTAACAGCAAAGTCTACATCCAGAATTCACTTACAGTGTATCATGGACTGACTACCGTGCTGAGTTTACCAAGAAAACTTCACTTCTACTCATCTTTTTCAACTCGTCGAATTATTAATAGACAGTATGGCAAGGGAATGCGAGTGAAGTACTTTCTCTATAATGAACCAGGTAAGCAAAATTGTCTCACGTACATGTATTGAAAAAAAATGATTGATATGATGTAGAGAAAGAGAAATGAAACAAACACGTTCTCTACAGAACTAAGTCGCGCGACTGTGTCGACTCTCACTCGTCAGGAGATTTATAAACATTCAAGAGACTACAATAAATTTACGGGCTCAGGTGTAAAGACGTAARAACAACAACAATGTCATTTGCATATATCGTGTTTTCAATTTTTTAGCAAGAATATTTGACATAAAGTTCAAAAACGTCTTTAATTCGCTATTTATCTAACGCATAGAATTAGAAGTTTTCCTGGGAAATCTTTCGTCCAAAAGACACAATCTATTCACTCTCTGCATCAAAAGGTTCTTAATTCTTTGACCCCTTTTTGTGCTGTCCACTGAAATGCAGAAACATTTCATCATTCAATATTTTTTTTATATAGAATCAGATCACAGAGAATCAGGAATCATTTTGCCAGGCGTCATGGGGACTTTAAATAGAAGGCTATAAAAAAATAACATTAATACACCTTTATCATAATGGCCGCCATCTAATTAACATAAATTTTTAAAATTTATTATTTAGAATTTTAGTCAAAGTAAACTAACAGCTGATAGGAACCTGTGCTAATAACAACATGTAAAAGTTTGAAATGAAGATATTAAATTATGGTGAAGTTATAAGGATTTAAAATATATCATAACACCAGAACGAGGCTATAAAGGCCTTGGCTGAAAATTACATACATTTCTTTGTATTTTCATTTCGCCATAACTTTGTTGGCATTTTATCCAGGGCTGTAAAACTTTCCAAAAATGTTTATTTTTGGTAGTTCATTCACATGACAGTGACAAAGTTTTCACATATTTCATATTCAGAAACAAATAGACAGACAGCCATTGGTGGAAAATTGCATACATTTCTTTGTATTTTTATTTCACCGTAACTTTTTTCCTATTTTGTGCAGAGTTCTAAAACTTTCCAAAAACGTTTATTTCTGATAGTTCTTTGATGTTACAGTGACAAAATATTCATATYTATCTTATTTTGGAAAAACACAATTGCCGCCATTATGATAGAGGTGTATAGAAATTTAAAAAAACGATAGGATTTTTTTTAATGAAACATGTGCTCTTGGGCTGGTTGTAGGGTGAGTAGCGTTATGGATCGGATAAATTCTTATCTTACCTTATAAAATCCCATACAAAATCTATAACGGGGCTACCTTTATCCGCTGTTAACTTTACCCAGCCTTCGTAATTAAAACCGACAAATGGTAGAAATCGCCATCTCCTGCAAAGAATCTCGGGAGCTTCCAATTAACGTTAAGTGTTGCCACATAAATCCTGCTTGCACAAACAACGGAATAAGCGACCATCTTGTTATTGCATTCAAATCAGCCTTGTATTTCATGTCTTGCCATAACACTTTTTTTTTAACCGGCTCTTTTATAGTTCCTCTTCTAAACAATTGGACCATATCACTCTCGATCTCCAACAATGACRGAATCACTGCAAATTGGACTCAAGTTAATGTTAAAGGCTATGATATTTTAGGATTTTTGATTACTTGCAATTCAACACAARATTGGGCTAACGAAGCAGTTTACGCGTTTGGAGAAAACAGTTCAACTTCTGCGACTTGTAATGGGCTGATCGGGTACACTAACTATGACGTGTACGTGTTGGTGATGTTAAAAAATCAGGAGACTGGGACATGTACAACATACAAGAGTTCAATGGCGTCAATAACAACTCCTAARTCATGTAGGTTCTTTGTTGTAAATTATAATTCAATGTCATAATTTTGATATATTTTTGTCCTTCCTTTGTCGTTAAATGTTCCCCATTTTCCAAATTTTACTTGTTTTTACCTTCCACAGGACTCTTTAGGTACTTTGAAAGATCATTGGCTTGTTCTTTTTTTGTTACTTGATAACGCTTTCTTTGTTTCTTAGCCCCAAGTACTATTGGTCCTCAAAGAGATTACAGCACTGATATTACACCAACTACAGCAGCTATTAGTTGGAAGCCACTCCCCGGAAAATATACTCTTGGATATACTGTACAACTCTACAGTTATTCCACTAGCACTTATTACAAAAAAAATAAGAACCAATGTTCCATCGGTGGTATTTAGGGATCTTTTACCTGCGAGCAGATATAGAGTGGAAATTAAAGGCTACACTGCAGCTGGAAGAGGACCATATCAAGACTATTATTATTTTTCAACAAGTAAGMCTTAGGCAAAAGGGGAACCTAATTTTTGTCTATCCAAATTCAAAGTTTTATCGTACGAATTTTTTGTTATTATTGTTGTTGTATTTATATAACTGCATTCATGAAAATGCGCGTGCATATACACTGTGAAAAATCGCGCGCTTTTTTAAAGGTTGTAAATTTGATGTAAATATTATGTAAATGTCCAAAATTCTGTAAGTTTGATGTAAATGATTTTCATTATATTTATAGAATTTTGGACACTTACATGAATTTTACATTAAATTTACAACCTTTAAAGCGCGCGATTCTTTACAGTGTATGTCATAAAATTGCATACATAATAAACGCTGCCTCTGAATTTGTATGAGATGCCTTTACCTACATCAGTAACCCTGTATAATATGTACATCCATATATTATAAGATCATACTCAACCGCTCTTTAACTTATCCAAATTTTTATTAGAGTGTCAATAGAAGACAATTACAGAGCCTCAAAAGAGATACGGATGTTCGAGTATTGAAAAGACCTCTCACGACGAGGAGGCATAGCGAAGAAGATAAAGATATCATATATATCAAAAATATCAACAAAACCGAATGGTCATTGTGTTTAGKATGACGGCACGTTTTTAYATGTAATATTTTGTTCATATTAACAGAATGTGGAGGTACTATAGAAAGACAACTGCATGGCAAGATACARATGTCGGATGCTAATGTTTGGTCTGAAACATGTATTTGGAAAATTATTGCACCCACTCAAAACACGCTGATCCTATTCCATATGAAATCGCTGAAGATACCATTTTCCTTTGATTGCTGGTAAGGAGCCATTGTGCACGTTGTATGTTAAAAAAATGGGAATGATCTCTAAGGGACTAGTCAGAAAATTAGCGAGTGGACGGAGTGAAAATTTTGAGGTTGGGAGTGAAAATAGATTGACTCATCCAATCAATGGAAATAAAAGTTTCTCAGTTGCCCTCCCCCTGTCATACGATTGACAATACTATTGAGATTGAACATAATTTTGCTGAAGGCCGAAGTGCCGAAACGTTCATTAAAGTAGAAAACCAAGTTGCAAGTTGTGTGCCTTTTTCTTCAATTTATTCTATTTAAATATATAATATATATACATTAAAACAAAGATAGTAAAGCTTCAAGTTGGAGTTTTGTTCAATTTCTTCATTCTACTATATATATATATTGAAGAAATTGAAGAAGAAGGCACAACTTGCAACTTGATTTCTACTTTTTATTAGGACGTTTCGGGCWTTCACCCTTCTTCAGCATATATATAAATAGTATAAAATGAAGAGAAAGCCACGCAACTTGAAACTCGTTTTCTACTTTTTTTATTAGACGTTTATATATATTAATATACTAACTGTTAATTAATTTCCGTAAGGGACTCCTCCTTGACCATTAAGGGCGACCAAGGAAGTTCTGYACAAGGCAGACTGTGTGGCTCAAGGCATTCTTTGTCTTTCATCTTACTTGGTTTTGCTGAAGTAAAACTATATTTGACAAGACCATTTTGGTCGACTCACATGTTCTCCTCTTTTTTCATGCTTGAAAATGGACTTGAAAATGGTAAGGGTGYTACTGTGTTTTAAAAATCAAATGTTTTTCACATTGTTCTAAAATTTCGTTTATGGCTTCTACATTTGAATGATCAAAGTTAATACATAAAATGGAAGCGATTAATTTTTTACGACATAAACCGGAATTTAACAAGAAGCAAGAAAATGAATTTTTTTAACAGACAAGCAATTTTTCTCGTATCCAGGTGAGTTACAATTTCTTGCCTGGACAGTTCTTTTTTCCTGAATTTCTTGCTGGCAACCAGTTGTGAGTTACAGCTGGCTTGGACATAAGAATAGATATATTTCTCAMAGGTTCCCGTCGGCTCCTCCTAATTATTTGATTGCATTTTTAGTTCCATCCATCAAGTCATGGAAAATTTTGTCTTTCAAAAAAAGTTCAACATCAGTCAACGTCAGCTGGGATAAATACCCAGGAAAAGAAAGCGTCAGCAAATACTTTGTGATTTGCACTGCTAGAAAAGTTTCAGTCTCCTCAACCGATGAAAAAAAAAATAGTTTGGTGGTTCAAAACCTGTTAAAAGGCACTGAATATGAAGTAGCAGTACTGGCAATACTTGGAAATCCCTCGTTTTTTAACTTCGCAAAAGTTGATATGACTATTTTCAAAAGTCAAGAAGTTGTTGTAAAGACTGCGGAAGATGGTAATGTATACATTGGTATCGCATATCACATGATAAATCGCGCCCTGATTGGTCAGAAATGACGAATAGATGACGTACATTGTCAGGAGTTCGGCGTGGAATCCTTCCCTTTCAAAGCTAAATTCAGTGAAAACTTTTATTGCAGAATGTTATTTTCATGTTATTTACAGATTAAGTAAGATAAGTATTATAAGTCGAGTAATATTTTGATCGTTTGAATCGTTCGAGAACTAGTAAGAAAAATTTCGAAAATTAGGCTGAACATCTTTTAGTGTGGACCTACCACGAAGGGCTTTGGAGAAGATAAAATCCGTAAAAAATGTAATTGAGATCAGCATTCTAGTGTTGATTTTTTTTTTCATTTTCTTGATCATATTGCTTTTCTTGGTCACAAACCAGGTCACAGTAGCTTTAAAGTTATCGCGATAGTATCGCGATATCACGCGATATCATGTCATGAATGAAAACAAAGCGCTGATTGGTTTACTTTGACATCCCCATGGAATCTGAAACTGCAGACCATCTGCAGCCCAGGCGCTTACAATTTGAATAATATTCACGACGAAGACGAAGAAGAAAAGCCACTTGCATTTTTAGATGGAAGCTCACGTAATGAGAAAAAATGTTCAAATCGGGTGCTATTTATTTTCGGGCATTGTTGGGGAAGTGATCACCGGAAGTTGACACAAGMTTTTGTATACAATGACTTTCATATGATGTAAACATATTTTGACGTCATAATAGAGTGCTCAACCAAATTTCAGTGCCCAAGTGCCATTTATAGCGGAGATACAAGCGATTTTATGGTCGGGTGACCACATACAAGAACTTGTAAATTTGGTCTTGTTCAAAACGAAAGAAATAAGACCAAATTTACAAGCGTTTGTTTGTATGTGYTCACCCGACCATAAAATGGCTTGTATCTCCGCTATAAATGGAACTAAAACGCTCATGTGTAGCAAGGATGCGTTAAAAATGATGCACTTTCACAATATATGGAAGGCAAATTTGAAAATTCAAAAATTTTCGTTTTGTGACGTCATCACTTGAGTACTCTATAAGCCAATCCAAATAARAATATTGCCAAAAATTAGACTTGATTAAGTTTATGAAATGTAACTGTAAATTCAATAGATAACATTTGTTATTTAGAAAAAGAATGTATACAAATGTAGCCAAGGCTGCTATGATGTTGAAAATGTATATCGTGAATCCGAGCTTTCGCTGTACTACAGCATCATCAGGGAATGACATCGGATTCACCATATACATTTTCAACATCATAGCAGCCTTGGCTACATTTGTATACATTCTTTTTCTGATCACAATCATGCTGCTAAAGGAWACCTTCATTTGTTATTTATTTTKATCTWTATTACTCTCTATAGCTCCAGGTAAACCGCCTCAACATGTCCAAGCGTGGAAGTCTGGGTCAATTGTTGTTGTTTCTTGGAAGCCTGTTGACAAGGAGTTCACTAATGGTGTAATTGTTGGATACTATGTTTACTATCGCCGGCAATCAGGGGCAGATTTAGGTTATTGGGAAAGAGTGCACGTAAAGTCTTATAAAACAAAGATCTATCTCAGAAATTTGTGGTCTGATACAAAKTACAGGGTCGAAGTATCTGCCGCCACAAAAGTTGGAGAAGGTCCAAGAAGCAGAAGWATATTCGTCACTACAGGTAAGGCGTCATACTAATGCACATTAGTATAAACATACTAATGGTCTATGACTCATACTGCGCTGTGATTGGCTACTCTAMTAATAATGGTCTAATTTGTGATAGACCACTCGCTGGAAAATCATGGACATACACCTAATTGAAAAAAACGTAGTCGTGTTCGAAAAGGTCACATCATAGAAGCTAAGACCGAAAGGGATTTTGAATTAGGATTACATTTGCATATACGGTGWACACTAAGCAAGTAGAGCTAGTAAGATTAACAGCATGATAGTCTTTTATGCAGGAGAGCTGTTTGTTATGAAATTAGCCAAATTGTTTGTCTTCCCAAGTACCCTTTTGGTCTTAGCTTCTATKATTTGACCTGTTTAGACTCGACWACGTTTCTTCAATTAGGTGTAATCGAGCCGTGTGACATGATAGCGAGACAACCGGAAGCGATTTTCATTGCCTACTATATYAACACCTGCTTTGTGTCTAGCAAGGGGACGGAATGACTTAGATTTACTTTCGTGTCAGCCTTTCCCTCTTTCCTTCTCCTTCCGTCCAAAATCCAAGCAATGATTATATGGTGATTGCAAATCTTTAGCCTAAGACAATGCTGAGATCCCAAGCAKGCTCTCTCGTTCTGTATATATTACTTAGATGATAGCTCTCACTTTCTTACAATTGAGTTTGGCAACTTTTCGGTATATCAGTAGCAATATGTAATCTTAGTTCAATTATGACGTCACATCAAAACATTATATTCTTCTTTTTCTTAGCAATGGTTATAATCTCTCACAATTTTTAAAAAAGTCGTATAACTCTTCTCAGGTGCTTCAAATAATATGGATGACAGGATTAGGTATCTAGGACTTTGGTGAACGAATACCAGCAAGACGGCACTTCCTTTCAAAGCCCAAATGCGGATTCCAAGCAATGATTATATTGTGATTGCARAACTTTGGCCTGACACAAGGCTGTGAGAGCAGGCTCTGTTGAAGAGAATTTGGACAGAGYGATTCGAGAGAGACTGGCTAACAAAACTTTATCCCCAATGCTTTGTTCATTGAATATGTGTTTGTGTTCTGATAAATAATMATCGATTAGTAATGGCATGCTTAGTAATTTKGGRAGGACCACAATGATCTTGGACAAAATGTCTTGGGACTTTCGCATGAGTTTAGTTGAGTTTGTGATGTTCATTCACAATTACTGCCTTTGTTTGTCTATTTTCTCCTTCCTAAACCCTTTCGCACCCTGGCAAATRCTGTAGTTGTGTGGTTGACGGCTTGCTGTCGGTACTGTGTATGTTGAGGGGGCGGTTTCGAGTGTAAAAGAGCAACTATAGGCGATACTATCTAAATTAACCCTTTAGCCTGAAACATGATTATCATCGAGACTCATTGTTATGAGAAAACTGTGTTTACAAATAAAAAAATGAAAGTTTGTGTGCAATAAACCCTTTTCTAGATCTCTTTTACTCTGTGTTAGCCTCAATTGTGTGAGCAAAATATTCAGAAATTTAAATAAAACTCGTGAAATTTCAAGCTATTTCCGTTGTCTTTATAAATACTCACGGATCTCTTGCATTTGCACGGAATGTTAGTGAATAAAATAATTTATTACATGGTTTTGAGGCTAACACAGCGTAAACGAGATCGCTAAAAGGGTTTATTGAGGAATCCATCTAAAATAACGTAACCCTATAGCCCGAAACGTGCTCCCGAATAATTTTGTCCAAGATTATAATCCATTTTAGATATCTTAAAGTAATCAAACATTTATTGGGAACTCATTTCTCTAGTTTTGCTTTCCAGTTATCAAATAGTTTGATATATTTTTTTAAAGTTCTTATAGTTTAGTGATATATTATTTCAACGTATGGCCCAAGTACAGCTGTTTGCAATAATTCTGACCCCCTCTGCCATATTTCATATATATCAAACTGACCTTAAATATTATGGGATGTCATGACTGATATATTTTTTGAGTTGTCCAGAATGAGTACTTTCTCAAAAAAATATCAGCATTGGTATCCCATAATTTCTAAGGATACTTTGATATATATGAATATTAGTGTAGGGGGGTCAGAATTATTGCAAATAGCTGTATATCAATATAATAAGTATATCAATATAATAACTTTTTGTGTTTATACGTCTAAAAGACTCACTACCATGACACATCGAGGTCGTGACTCGATACTAAAAATAGTTATACTATGATGTGATTTWARAAATGTAACAAAAATATCTTTGGAATAAAAACGTGTTGCTTCCGTCCTGTTGAATGGTTGAGTTGCATGATGCCGGTAAATAGTCAGGGATGCAGAAGGTGAAAACCCGGTGACTATACGAAATCCGTGATTCCGTATTCCCAATAAAGGGGTTGTAAGAATATTTCGCCACTATTCAATTTCTTAAAAGATTTTGATTTTAATACTTTAATGTTTTTACAATCATTGTTTAATATCATTATTGTTTTGGCATTATTTTTATTATAGATTTTCACTAACTAAATATAGATTTTCTTTTTATTTAATGTTTTTAAATTCATTGTAAAATATCATTATTGTTTTAATAATATTCTTTAATATCGATTTTCTTAATATCGATTTTCTTTTTATTATTATTACCATATATAGCTAAGGAAAAATGGTATAATCTTCGAGTCCATTTTTCATGGACCGACACAGGGTTCCCGCGCTTACGCACGTTTTCTGGTGTCCGTGTACACAGGAAACCCATAATCCGCGTGAAAGGGAAAAAAGCGCCAAAATATTTGTTGAAAGATTCAATTTTTTTCCTAAAACATTAATCTCCCCAATTGACATTATTATAAAAATTAAAAAAGAGGCTCAAAATCCACAGGAGAGCGGAATCAAAGCAAAGAAATATTCCCGCCAATTTTGTCATAACTATGCGACGCGTCTGCACATCCGGGAAACCGATTTGCGAAGATAAAAGCAATTTTCTTTCGCTCAAGGAGCTCAARCGTTTTGAGGCTCAGTTTTTAGGAGCAAAATGATGACTTTTTGCTTAGATATTTCGACAACAAGAAAAACATGATGCTATAATGGCAATACTGCAAAAATATGGGGAAAAGCAAAGATCTGTGAATTTGTTTTGGCAGAAAACGTGTGGACATTTTGAAAACAAGACCATGCCAGCGAAGCAGAAGTCGATTGAGAGAGATTTAAAAACAAAGAATCGACAAAATTACAGCCTTGAATGACTTATRATTAAGGTGAGTTTGCCGTTAGATACCTATTATCGCTGGTTAATAGTTTTAAAGGCGAAAAAAATAATAATAATAATACTATCTACAGCATTTCCTCGGTATTTGAGAGAGGAACATATTCAAGAATCAAGGTAAAAAAACTGAAAACGTAAGATGTTCTTGTACAGTTTGAATTCGTCCAACTGAACAAAATGTACACGGTCAATGAATTCAGAGTTCGAAATTCTTATAAATAAATAACTAATAAATAATAAATAAATGAACTTACTTACTCTTTCATTATACAAACTTTCAGAGGTATAAAATAAACCTAAGCTTATGTATTTAATAACTGGGTTACTAAGTATTTTGTTCGCATTTCGATAAAAGATGTTGTGTCCGTTGTGTTTACATTCCTTAAAACAGCGTACATCTGTTAAGAGAACGATTTCATTAGCGTTTTTAACCGTACTTACTAAAAGGCGCAATGAGCTACAACGACCTACAATGAGCTACAACATTCCTTAAAACAGCGTACATCTGTTAAGAGAACGATTTCATTAGCGTTTTTAACATGCAAATGAGTTTTTCGAGTATTTAACATGCAAATTAGTTGTCACCTGAGATGAGTTGTTACCTTGAAAACTTGAGTCGAAAGATGGCAACCCTCATAGCCTCCTTGTGAGAAGACGAAAGACAGCTACAGAACTAGCGAAAGAGGTCCAGGAGGAAAATACAAACATATCAGCAAGAAAGTAATGA